TCTTCTGGTAAAATACCCAGAAGGGGAATAGCTAGGGTAAGTGGGACCTCTAATCCTAATTTTGTGAGGAATCTTCACACTGATTTCCACAGTGGGTGCACCAGTCTGTACTCCCACCAGCAGTGGAGAAGGGTCCTTTTTTCCCCACAGCCCCTCCAGCATTTGTTATTGGTTGATTTCTTGATGATAGACATTCTTTCTGGGGTAAGGTGGAATCTCGGTGTTGTTTTAGTATGCATTTCACAAATGACCAATGAGGGAAAGGAGAAAAGAAAGAAAAAAGGAAGGGAAAAAAATATATATGTATATGCAAGGATAGCTGGGATAATTGCACTGCTGATGTCTATTGGTTTATTGAAAGGAACAGTTAATGCTTAAATTTTCTTTTTTGGCCAATTTTGCATGCTTGTATCTGGTAATCTGAACAACTAGTTTGAAGACAACAATATGCAATACAACAACTATTGTTGAGTTCTTACTATCTTGTTTAGTGAAGCTTTGTATCATTTCTAATGTTTTGTTTTATTATTTTTATTCTTTTTAATTGATCAATCTTGCATTCTTACATCTGGTAATCTGAGCAACTTCATTGAAGATAACAATATGTAATATAACAACCACTGTTAATTTCTTACCATCTTATTTTCAAATTCTGTATTTTTATTGTTTTTGTGTTGTTTTGTTTTTGTCTTTGTTGTTATTTTGTTACTTTTTTTCTCTTTAAAATAAGAAATATAAAAATATAAAAAATATAAAATTAACATTTAAAATATCTTTTCCTCAAAATGGTTTTGGTGTTGATTAGAAAATCAAGGAGGCTCTTGTTGGAAGGTCTGATGTTCTAGAAGCTCTTTTAAAGAATAGACTGCTGTCTACACAGCAGGTTCTGGAGTAGACCATAAAGCAATACGTGCGGAAAAGTTTCAGTGTTCTCGAACAAGGTACTGAGAGTCACGTCATCTGGATTTTGATACCAGATCTGCAGGAAAATCATTTCCATTTAAAAAAATTTATGTCTTTTGTAAAAGGCAGATAAATAGCAACAGCACCTAAATCTTAGCGTCTTTGTGGAGAATAAGTCAAATGATGTATCTAGAACCTGTCAAAAAGTAACCAATAAATATTTTTATCCACTTAAGAGTACCTCCTAAATTGTCTCACTATATTGACATTCACTGTGCTAATTAGAGTTAAATAACTATCAGGTAATCTGTTAATTAACTGGGCCAACATACATGGAAGGAGGCTTCACATATCCACATGTACGTCAATGTGTTGAGGTTTGAAGGACTGTCAATTGCTAATTTGTATGCAACTGAAAACCCATCACTAACATCTAAAAACATCAGCTGGTATCTTCCCAGGCAGTGAGTTTTACTGTAGAGCTCCAGTCTCCCTTTTAGGAAGTGTCCCCTTCTCAGCTGAAGAGCTGTGTGACATCATGGGTACCTTGCCACCCTGGAGGCCAGGAGACTTGGGGTACGTGTGCTTCCCAGTCTGCCACTTGTCCAGGCCTGTCACCTCAGCTCTCTGCTCCCCAAATCTGTATTTATAAAAAGGTGCAGTAGGCTAGTATCCGCATATTTTATTTGGAGGGGACTCTAGATATTATCTTAGTAAAGCTCTATTTTTTCAACACAAACAGCCTATGATTCTGACATATATCATCCCACTGTTTTTATTCCTTAATCAGCTTTTAAAATAAAGACAGCTACTAAAAAACATAAAGCAATCCCTTTATATTTTCCTTTAATCTCAAATATATTTTCTTTTGTCCATTGAGAGCAAAGTAAAATGTCCTATAAAACATGCAAAAGTATAGAATGCACAGGACATTAATATAACATAACTTTTATATTTACAATGGGGAGAAAGGACTGTATTTTACTGAACCTAGTAATTGGAGGTTAACCAAAAATGTGTGAATTCTCAGTGATTTCTGAATGCTTTCTGACTTGGAATATATAATATAAATTCTCAGAATGTTAAAAATTTTTTGTTTTCTACTAGCTTATGAAGGTTGAGATTATATTACACCCCTGAAAAGAAAAACCTACAATGGCTTCTCTATTTGAAGAAATCTAAATTTCTCAGCCTGTCATTCAAAACCTTTCACAACTCACTCCCAACACACTTTCAATTTCATCTCTTATTCTCCCCTTCTCTGGCCTCTAGTCTCCCAAGCCTCCCTGCACTGTCAGGCCTTTCCCTCTGTTCTGGCCACACCCTTCATGAGGACGGCCTTTCTCACACCCAAACTACAAACTCTACCCATTTTTCAGGATGCAACTAATACACTGCCTTCTTTGCCCAGGCAGCAAGTAGGGCACTCTCCTGTGGTCCCGTATGTACCACATCCTGTGCTACGATTACTTTCCCCTGTCACTGCCACCCTCTCTGGAGCAAGGAGCATGTTTTCGTTATAGAATCTGATATATGGAAAACTGAATAAAAGCTCGCCAAAGTTAAGAGAAACATATGTGCATGTGGCAAGAAGACAGGAAGTACCCTAATTCAGAAAAAGTATGTTTTCACTCATTATATGTACTTTGGAAACTTGAGAAAAACAGAAAGGAAATACAATTTATCCATAACCCAGCTTCCTCAGAGACAGTCACTGTTAATAATTTAGTATACATATTTCCAGCTAAAGCACACTTTTAAAAGAAGCTCTGGTTTTAAAAATTAGAAAATTACTTATATGGCCTCACAGATGATCCTAATTCTTGTCTTTGCTGTTTCTTTATTAGCTCACTGAGAGAATAATCATCCTTTTTGTGGTGATCACCAGTCAAGAGGAAATCCAAGAAAAATATGTGGTGTGTGTTTTATTCATCTTTTGGAATCTACTGGATATGGTTAGGTAAGAAGGCAAACTTATTTCTTAAAAGGAGGCCAAATTGCTTTCTACACTGAAACCAATAATATCTCCTTATATTTGGTTACTCTGAATGAGACAGAAAAACATAACCTCTTTTCAAATTGTTTTATCCTGATATGGAAATGTTTTTAGTGCTTTCCAGAATGGGCATGTCAAAGATAATGAAAACCTATCATGGTATTACAAAAGCATATCAGTACCTTCAGGTTTTCAGCACGAGGCTTGGCATAACACCAACTTGAAGCAAGCCTCACATTGTGCTAAGGAAAGGCATTTCTTATGATCGCTCTAGTGCATACTGCTTTAATAAGCAAACCAGGGTTTTCATTGTGTCACTGAGAGAATTTACTAAGTTGGTTTCTGTGAATTCAAGAACATTTTAAACATAGGACATCATCTCTGTGGAACCAAAAATGCGCTTCCACATCTAATTTTGTATATAATTCCAGTGGGTCCAAAAAACTGACTCAAGTTCTTTTGTGGAACCCCCAGGAACTCTGGCTCTAGATAGTCTTTAGTTTCCACCTAATTCTAAATCTTTACAGTGAGAGGTGCCTAGCCCACTCTTCAAGCGGTGATCTAACCAGTCTCCCTTGCTCAGTGAACTGCCGTAGCTCTTCCGGGTAGTGCCCTAACTTGTACTTCAGCTCCCGCAAATGCCCTGTCTCACCCCACACGGAAGTGCTGTATGTGAATAGGTCAGAAAAAAGTCCAAGATTTTGCCAGGTGTGGTGGTGCACACCTGTAATCTCAGTACTTTGGAGGCTGAGGCAGGAGGATTGTCATGAGTTTGAGGCTAGCCTGGGTTACATAAGTGAGTTAAAGGCCAGCCTGCACTACAGAGTGAGACCCTGTCTCAAAAAAAACCAATCCCACCCCTCCCAAACCCTAAGATTTTTAGCTGAGGTTATATAAATTATGTATTTATATTAGTAACAGTTGGATTAAAATATGTCTAAAAAATGGGTGGAATGCTAAAGAAAATAGAATAAAATATTTTGCTGGATTAAAATGACGAAATTATTCATTTTTCAAGTAGTTTTGTAGACTAAGAGCAAACTTTATAGCCTGTGATTTACTATTAATGCAATACTGGAGCCTCACTGGGACCACAGTCTTCTAGTATGTAGGAAAGTTGGTATGTTGGACTCTTTTCAGTATTGAGTCAATCTCAGACAACCTCAATAGACACAAAAGAGAAGAAAACAACTTCTGCATCAACATTGGTAGCAAGCTATCATATGATGCCTTGTGGATATAGAGGTAAAATATCTCAAAATAAAACCCATACATTACTTGCTAAATGTTCTGGGCAAAACACACATCCTGTTTTATTCTAACAACCATATTGAGATATAATTCACATACCATAAAGTTCACCTTTTTAAATGATAAAATTCTGGGTTTTATTATATTCAAAGAGATGTACACCCATCACCACTACCTGAGAACATGTTTACCACCCCAGTGAAGAAAGTGCATACCCACTGGCAGTTACTCCCACTCCCCACTGTGAGTGTCCACGTACAAGACTTTGTGCACATGTTTTCGTTTCCCTTATACCTAGGAAGGAAATTCTTGGGCCTCTGCTTTCAAATTCTACTTTTCTCTATAAAACGGGTGCAGAATTATCTCCTAGTCTATCCTAGGGAAATTCTTTAATGAATAATGACTTGTTGAAGACATCTGTGAAAAATCAACTGCAACATCATCGTTAATTGTGAGACTGATGCTCTCCTCTTACGAGAGGAACAACAGGAAGATGTGCGCTCTTTCCATTTCTATTCAGCACTGTATTGGAAGCTCTAGCTGTGGCAATTAGCAACAAAGCAGAACACTGTAAGAGGCAAATAGACTGGGAAGGAGTAAAACTATCTCTATTGGAAGATGATATGCTACATAAAAAATCATAAGGGACACACAAGTTTATAGGTCAATACAAAAATCAATTCTATTTCTATATATTTGCAATGAACTATGCTAAAATAAAATTAAGAAACATGTTTACAATAATATCAAACAGAATAAAAGAGTACTTAAATACAAGGAAAATTATAAAATTTTGAAAAATTTAAAATCTTAATAAGTGGAAAGACATGCCACATTGGTTGAAGACTTAATATTAAGATAGTAATACTCCCAAAGTGGTGTGTGGATTCAATGCAGTAACTACTAAAATTCCAGCTGGCAGCTTTGCAGAAATTAAGAAACTGATCCTAAAATTCATACACAAATGCAAGGAACTAGGCATAGCCAAAACAATCTTGGAAAAGAACATAGAGGATTCACACTTCCCAATTTTAAAATTGACTACAAAGTAACAATAATCATGAATGTGGTATTGGTATATGCAACAATCATAGAATAAAACTGATAGTCTAGAGATAAGCTCTCATATTTTTGGTCAATTAAATTTTGACACAGGTGCTAAGAGCACTCAGTGAGGAAAGAATCTTCTCAATGACTGATATGAGACAAACTGGATATCCACATACAGTAGAATGAAGCTGGATCCTTACTACATGTATGAGAGTGGATGGACATGATCAGTTCACAATGTATGCATATATGGGACTATCACAGTAATTCCCTTTAATCTGTACAATAAATTAAACTCTTAGAAGAAAACACAAGGATAAATCCTTATGACTGCAGTTTTGGCAACATATTCCTTGATATGACACAAAAACCACAAGCAACAAAAGCAAAAACGTGTCAACTGGATTTCATTCATAATGGGTCTTTTTTCTGTGTGTGTGTTTTTGAGACAAGGTCTTGCTATGCAGTTCAGGCTGGCCTTGAACTCACTTGGTAGCCCAGGCTAGCCTCGAACTCCTAAAGATCCTTGATCCTCCTGCCTCAGCCTCCTGAGTGCTGGGATTACAGGCGTGTGTCACTGCGCCCAGCTCATAATGGGTCTTAAACATGAGAAGATCCCTATCTTGTTTCTAGTAAGAGGAGAAAAAAAGATAAGTGAGATGCTATGTTTCACTCAGATTAGTAAAAACTAAAAAGTGTGATAATATGCAATGTTAGTAAGAGCTTGGACCACTAGTATATGTATATGCAGTAAATACACACATAAATAGGCATACACAAAAATATTTCTAAAAGGGTACGTAGGAAACTGGAATTGGTCATTGTCTCTAAGTAGAAGCTGGGTCCGGAAATGAGAAAGGTTGAGTTTTCTCTAGTCATGTTTTCAAGGTTCTTTTTGGTTTGTTCTATCTTGCCATATATATTTATTGCCTATACTAGTGGTTCTTGAAGTGTGGTCCCTGGATCAGCCATCAACCTCACCTGGCACTTGTTAGTAATAACAAATTCTCAAGTTCTACTTCAGACATACATGATCAGAAACTCAGCCAAGTGTGTGGGGGGGTTATAACCCAGCAAGTTGTTCTTTAACAAGCCATCGGAGTCATTCTGATGGCTGCTGATACCTAAGAGCTACTGGCCTATTCTACTCAAGTAAATAAAAATATGTACACCGCGCTGTCTACTACTTCACACTGGTTAGTTTGAAGCTGCCTACTTTATCCCAAACCAGCCCCCAAGCCAGCTTTTACAACTGAACATACAAGTTGGAACAACTACAGATACTGAACTGAGGAGTTTAGAAATCAGATTTTAATAGTTATTTCTGAAATACTGACAAATATATGTCTTAAAAAAAAAAACCTAACTGCTTGCTGCATAAGATAGGGTTGGCTTTTCAATAAAACTGAACTCATTAAATCAAGGAAACTTGTAACTATAATTTCTTGTGAGGGGATATTAGTTACATTTTTGCTGTATTTAACCCTATAATTATCTATGATCCATCCCATGAGACCAACCAGAGTGACAGGGTCCCCACCACCCTTTTTTAAACCTCTTCTCTTGGTTAAATTACAGGAAGTAGTCTATAGTTTCACACTTTTATCCCTGTATTTAATTATGTAAGGTATTGTCTTCTGTTGTTTCCCAAACATCATCATCAGATGATGCTCATAAGCCCCTTCCTTCCTCTCAGGTACACTCACAGCATGCTGGCAGTCATCGGAACATCCTACGCTGTCTTGACATGGCTCAGTCAAACACTATGGATGCCCATTTATCCCCTATGTGTTCTCGCTGAGGGTAAGAAAGGAGTTGTACTGCTAACTGACCAAAGCCGTGTAGTCACACTAGTTCAGTAATTTTTGATGACTGAATTGCTATTATTACTCAGTGTATCTTTCCTGGCAAATTTCCCTTGCTGCAGAAAAGGAAAGCTTCAGAGAAGCCGCTCTGTGCAACAGACAAACATTGGATAAGGAATAAGAAACCTGAGCTCAAGCCCTTAACTTCATTGTCTGTATGCATTTAGGATAACATTTAACCTGAGCCTGTTACTTGCCAAAGAAGGGTTAAGCACTGAGAAATTCTATGATCTTTTTACTTTTAATGCATAGAGTTTCAGTTTAGTTTGGCCAGACTCTCCTTTCCACTTACCTTCCCCCACTGAACCTGTCACTTTCTGAGGAAAGTGCTCCTTGACTTGTTGAGGGAATTACCCGTAGTACAGCATCATGAACTGGTCTTCTGCGGGGCCTGTCTCAGTTGTAACTAGATATTTATATGATTCTCTGACTAGTGAAGTTTTCCTGCTTAGACTTTTAAGATGCATGAAGGTACAGGGATATACCTGTACCTTCCTTCCTCTTATGCATTAGTATACATGCTCACCAAACACAGATGACTTACTGGCTGCAGCATGAAATAGGCTAATTACATATCCTAAATATAAACCTAAAACTTGAAATCAAATAATTAAAACCACCAATCTACAAAGAGCTTGAGGATATTTGGAGACTATATATGCTTTTTTCTGTAATGGATTTGACAGATTGGTAGGGAGCTTTCTGAAAGTCATGATTAAAGTTTTTGAAAATGAGAGGTATAAAATAATAAAGAAGCATGTTAAGATAACAAAGGGAAAACATAAAATGTATTTTCTATCCATTGTTGAGCAAAAAAAATGAGCTTGGATGTAATAAATCATATTAGAAAGAATTAAACAATTTTTTTTTCAAAAACAGTAGATAGTCCTGAAAACCCATAAAAACTGATTGCCCTTTTTTTTTTTTTAATAAAAAAGGAATTAAGATGGGTTATGTACATGTACCAATTCCCCACAAGGAATGTAAACACTGTGTACTACAAATATATTAATAAAATGAAATACCTTACTCATTGAAACATTATGTTCCTTTTTTACATGAAAATACTGTAAAAGAAATAAAAAGCGAGGGGCTGGGGATTTAGCTCAGCAGCACAGCGCCTGCCTGGCAAGTGCAAGGTCGTGAGTTTGATTCCCGGTACCAGGAAAAAAAAAAACCAAAAAAAAAAAAAAAGAAATAAAAATTGAATGGTGGAATACTGGTCAAAGGATATAAAGTGTAAAATAGACAGGAAGAATACATTTTTGAGATTTCACAGTTGGATGGCTGTTGTTAGTAAATGTGTATTTCAAAATAACTAAGTGTAAACTTTTAATGTCCCACTACCCAAAATAAATGAAGTGATAGGTATGGTAGCTTGACTTCAGCATTCCACATTTTAAACATACATCAAAACATACAGTGAACCCCATATATAGCTTTGATGTGTCAATTAAAATTAATAAAAATTTTAAAATAAAATTTAAAAAGATTACATAAAGGGATAAGGTACTAATCCCTTCTTAAAAATGAGGATTGAATGAATGCATAAGAAATCTTTCCATTCTCGTGAATTCTAAGCCTGCCCTTTTCCAGGAAAGACATGCTCTTACATAGTTGCCACACAATCCATCTTCTTTTGTTAGATTTATAAACTTACAATTGCAAGGTAAGGTTATTTGCAGAAAAAAAAATCTAGAAACATCAACAATATTTAATAACAATGATTAATTCAGGATTGTAAAATATGTATAATTTTATCTGTTTCTATATATTTCAAATGCACTATAATATAAAAGATGCAGTTAAGAAAACTCCTTACCTGTTAATAACTAATTTTAATAGCTATTAATAAAGTTAATACTGTTAAGTATCTGTAATTTTCCCACCTGATAAAGTACATATAAATGACACAATTAACTACTTATATGATGAAATATTAGAGACTTAATATTAATATTAGATGGCAGATTTGTGTCAGCAGCAGGTCCTGTACTGTTCCTACTTGTGCCTGAGCTCTTTTGTTTCATATCTTTCTTTTTAAAAATATTTTATTTTGAAATAATTTTAGATTCACAAGAAAATGCAAAATGGTACAGAACTGCCATCTACTCTTCATCCAACTTACCCTAACGATGACATCTTCTTACATAACCACAGTACACTGTCATCTCATCCCATGGAATGTGAAAAATCTGCACACAGGTTGCAATTTCATGGAACTTCCATCACTATCTGATTATCAGCTTCCTCCTTCAAACTATTTTTGGCCAGCATTTCTAACAGAATTCCTCAGCATGTTTCTTAAGTACTATTGAGGGTTAGGGAGGGAGAAGATGATATTCCAAGGCCAGTTATGTTGATAAAATGTTGGGTGAGCCAGATATGGTAGTACATGCTTGTAATTCCAGGGCTCTGGGAGTCTGAGGCAGGAGGATTACAGTTCAAGTCCTGCCTGAGAGAGTCTGTGACTCAAAAATAAAAAGGGCTAGGGATCTAGCTCAGTGTGAAGGCCTTTGGTTCAGTCCCCAGTACTGCTCCCCAAAAGTGATACCAGTTTTTTTTTGCAGAATTTCTAGAATCGCTACGTGAATATTCAATGTGTGTTGTACCACTCCAAAATGAAAGTATGTGCAACATTTTGCAAATTCATTTGCTTATCACTGCTATTTGTGGCAAGGGTACCAGATGTATTCTGAATTACCCTTTTAAGAAATATTACAATCTTTCTATGTAAGCATAACATGAAACATACAATGTAAAAATTTGGTAAGTCCAACTGCTGTAACAGCCTTGCCAACTTAATCATATTTCTATTTCTATACCAAACTGCAACTTTAGCTAAAGACTTTAGCAATCGTCAAAAAACTGTCACTGTCAAATTCAAAATGTACTTCAACTTTGGAGACATACAAACACATCCCCATAACAAGGAAACGTTTATATTTTTTTCTTTGAACAGCATTTGCCATCTATCAATCGCTGCCTTATTTTGAATCATTTGGCACTTACTCTGCCAAGCTACCCTTTGACTTAACCATCTACTTCCCGTATGTGCTGAAGCTGTATCTCATGATGCTCTTTATAGGTAAGTGGCTGTTTTATTTTTGCATTCTTCCTGTTCCTTCTGGTTTATGAGGCCATCTACAAATAAACAAGTTGTTTGAAAGTGGGAAAGACTACAGAGGAAACCTAACATGATGAACTAGATTGTGCTGTTAAAGCATTTGGAAGTTACAATACTTTGGGCAAGGCATCACAAGACCAAATATATCACTGTTTCACTGTATGAACAGAAACAGTCTTACTATTGGAAAATGTAACTGTGTTAGGTATGAAATATGGAAGTTTTGACCATAAGCACAGGTATCACCACAGATCACCAAGGACATGTCAAACAGAGGAGGACTGGCTATTTCTGCTTTTCCCATTTATAGCTATTCTTTCCTGTTTGGCCTTGCATGTTAGTTCTTCCTAGCAAGCAAATGGGAGTAGGTGCTAAAGACTCAAGAAAAATTTATGGAACAAAAATTTACAGTTGGGTGGGTTTTTAAGAAGGCTGAATAGAGGCACCCAGCACTCACTGGCTCCTCAACAATGAACAACCAAAGCAATAGGTGAATAGCTGCATTAAATAGTGAATAGCTGAGGTGAGTGGGCATGGGAGAACACTGGAAATCAGTAGGAGAAAACTAGAAACTCTTAGCATTCAGACTTGGAACTACAGCCTTGTAAGAGCAACAAAATATCCTAGTACCTGCTGACCTGGCTTTATAACCAGGAGGAGGAAGAGTCTCCCCTCTGTAAGAATAATAGGGAAAGTTCCAGCAAACTCCTTATCAGTGCACATGCTGGCAACCTTAGCTATTGGAAAGTTCCACAACATTCATGGGCTTACAGCTACATAGCCTGAAATCCACACAGTTGTACTTTTTTGAGAAAGATTTCAGATAATCCCTAGCGTGCGCGCGTACACACACACACACAAACCCAAAAACCTCCAGGGTACCATAGCCAGGAAAGAGCTTGGTAAGAGACATGTTGTCTAAATTTGGACAGCCATGGGTGTTAGAAACGCTTGCTTGTTCAATCTCTCGGGCTCTATAGACATCCCAGACATCCCATTGGCCAGAGGGTAGCTGCCTTATCAACCAAAGTTGGCCCAAGAGAATGACTGAATAAGACCACTGCCTGGTAGGAGGCAGGTGAAACGAGAACACAGAGCACCACCCACAGGAACCAGGAAGCTGAGGAGCCGAAACCAGGGATGAAGGCATCCCCCACAGGGTTCCTGCACCGCTCCTCACTCAGCACTGTGCACACGTGCCCCGCACCAACAGCACTGGAGACGGATTCCTGGTTCCACACCTGCCCTAGAAGAAAGAGTCCTTGAGCCTGCAGATAGGGCCTTTGACATATTCCATTCAGACAGAAAAAAGAAATGAATACTCAAGAGCTTTGAGATACTATTAAGTAAACCTCCGTATCACTGGAATACGGTAAGTCCTCGATTTACAACGGCTTCCACTCAGGGATAACGCTTGTAAATCAGATTTGTTTGTAAGTTCAACAAAGTGAGTCTTATTTACCTTGGACACAAACGTACAACGTACATTGCTTTGTGCTTCCCAGCGTCCCCGCTAAATCACCACTGGTTGTGCTCTTGCTTCTGGACATCCTGCGCTCTGCCTGAGCAATGTACTGCTGCACACTATGGCACTGCACAGTAAGCACACAGCAGCACAACTGTGATGATGTCTGGAGACACGTGAGCTACCATGATTAGCTCCCACCTGTGAATGTTTGTAATGTGAGATCTGGTCATATCTGTGAAAGTTGGCAACTCACATGTTTTAAGTAGAGGACTTACTGTATCTTAAGGTAGAGAGCTGAAGGTTAAAGACATGCCATATACAGGAACCTAATTCTTAATGAATGTGAACAGTATATGTCATAAACATGAGATAAGATTAATATCAAGAAGAAAGAAAATGGGGAAATGAATTTAGAGGAGGATGGAGGGAGGTGGAAGGAAGGGGAAAGGGATTAAAAAAGAAGCTGTATTATATACATGCACTCAGTCCCCAAGATGTGTGTAAACTGCACATACTATAAACATGTAGAGCAGAAAATGTCTCTAATCTTTGGAAAGACAGGAACACCGTGATGCACGAGGCTCATAAAACCCCATATACACATGACCAGACCAGAACTGATCTTCCCCATGAATATCAACTGTCATATTTTTAAAGTACAGTACAAAGGAGTAATTTTAAAATCTGCAAGAAGAAAATGCCAAGTCATATTTAAGGGCATATTCTTTGGAGTAATAACAAATTTCTTAATGGAAACCCTACAGGCCAGGAGAGAATGGAATGATGTATTTTAAGTCCTTTAACTGTCAACCAACATTACTCTGCCTCAGTGATCTCCTTCAGAAATGAAGGCAAAATAAAGACCTTTCAAGATAAGCAAAAATTCAGGGAGTTCATGACTAGCAGGCCAGCATTACAAAAAATGCATAAGACATACATCTAGAAATGGAAGATTACATCATGATAGCATGTGAGAGTGTAAGTCCCACTAGGAGAATCTATAGACAAAATAGAAATAAGAGCTAAACATAATAATATAATAGACCATTAAACCACAAAGATAAGAGGATACTCAAAACTAGAAAAAAATCAAAATAATAGACGTAAGTCCATACTTTAAGAACTTTGAATGTAAATAGACTAAGTTCTCCAATTAAAAGATACAGACTGGTTGAGTGGATTTAAAAAATTAAGGCCTAACAATGTGTTGCTTACAAAAAACTCACTTTTCCAATAAAGATGCATGCTAAAAGTGATAGGATAGAAAATTATATATCCAATAAAATGAATAAAGTGAACAGAAGTAGCTATTTTAAAATACAGTGTAAGAAAACACTGTAGAGACAAAGTCACTATATAATGATCAAGGGATCAATTATTTAAGATATGATAACTAGAAATCTATTTGCACCTAACTGAAGAAGGTCCAACTTTATAAAACAAACACTATCAGAACTAAAGAGATAGGTTCCAATATAATAACACTGTGGGATTTCAATACCCCACTCTAGATGGTCAGACTATCCAGTTAGCAAAGAAACATCACAGTTACGCTATACAGACATATACAGAATATTCAGTGTAGCAGCTTCAGAATGTTATTGTTTCCATCAGGATTGGAACCTTCTCTAGAAAAGACCATATACTAGGTGAGTGGGGGTAAGCCTACGGCACACATGCTGCAGTGGGCTGTTTGCAGCATCGAAAGCTCTAAGAAGACTCGCCATCACTGAACTAGGTCTTAAAACAGGACTTAAAATTTAAAAACCTGAAATCATATTGTCTCTTCTCTGATCACAAAAAAATGAAAAGAGAAAATATAAAAAGGCCATAAGCACCTTGAGACTGCACATTACTCTTCTTAACAAAGAGTGAGTCATTAAAGTCAGAAGGGAAATTAAATTTCTTAAAACAAATGAAAACAAAAAATCTGTGGGATGCAGCAAAAGCAACGCTGAGAAGTTTGTAGCAATCACTGACTGCATAAAAAATCAGGTTTCATAAAAACAACCTAGTGGTATATCTCAAGGACTTAGAAAAGCAAGAAGAAACTACACCCAAAATTAGTAGAAGAAATAATAAAAGTCAGAGCCAAAAAAAAAAAAGAAATAAAAATACAAAAGATTGATGAAATGAAAGGTAGTTTTTCAAAAAGATAAACTGACAAACTTTTAACTAGACTAAGAAAAAAGAGCTCCAAATAAGAAATCAAGAAAAAAAAAAAAACTATCACAGAAATACAAAAGATCAGTAGGGATTATTGTGAGAAACTATATACTAACAAATTGGAAAATCTCTAAGAAATGGACACATTTCTGGTCATGTGACTTGGCAAAACTAAACCAAGGATATTGACCTGAGATGCAAACAGGTAGAGATTGGATCAGTAATAAAAAGTCTTCCATAAAGCAAGGCACAGAACTTGATGGCTTCATTGATGAATTTAACCCAACTTTTAAAACAGAACTAATGTCAGCTCTTCTCAAATTATTCCACTGCATTGCAAAGGAAGGAACCTTTTCAAATTCATTTCATGAGGCCAGAGGTCAGGATTTACCCTGTTACCAGGACCTGACAAGGACATGACAATAAAAGAAAACGATAGACGAATACGCCTGATGGACATAAATGCAAACAAAATAACTGCACATCAAATTCAGTAGCACATCAAAAAGATCATGCACCACGATCAAGTTGGTTTCATTCCAAGGATGCCAGGATGCTTCAAGATATGCATATCAATAAAAATAGATAGTACATCATACAAAGCAAGTGAAGGCTAAAAACAATATAATTATACCAATAGATAAAAAATTTGATAAAATTCAAAATCCCTTCATGATAAAAGTCCTGAACAAATTAGGTATCGAAGTATTATACTTCAACAACAAAAAAAGCTATATGTAACAAACCAATAACCAGCATCATAATAAGCAGAAATTGAAAGCATTTCCTCTAAGAACACATCAAAGATGTCCACTCCCACTGTTTTTATTCAATATATTTCTGTAAGTTTTAGCCAGAGAAGTTGGGCGAGAGAAAGATATCAAAAGCACACAAACAGTATGGAAGGAACTCATGATGCCTGTTTCTAGATGATATGATTCTCTACACTAAAAAATGTAACGACTCCATAAAGTCTATTAGAACTGATAAACTATTTCAGTTAAGTCACAGGTACAAAATGAACATACAAAAATCATAATTTTTCTGTGCACCAACAATGAATTTGCTGAGAAAGAAAGAAAAGCAATCCCATTTACCACACACACATAGTACTTGTAAATAAACTAAGGGAATAAAAGACCTCTTCATTGAAAATTACAGAATACTAATGAAAGCACTTGAAGACACTGAAAGGTGGAAAGACCTCTCGTACTCATGGATTAAAAGAATTAAGATTGTTAGTCATATTAACTAAGCTGATTTACAGATTCAATACAACCCCTATCAAAATACTATTGACATGCTTTAAAGAACTAGAAAAAACAACCCTAAAATTCATATGGAAGCAAAAAGACACAAACTAGCCAAAATAGTATGGTATTAACATAAAAACAGACACAGAGATGAATAGGACAGAATACAGAAACCAGAAATAAACCCATAAATCTACAGCAAAGTGATTTTTCACAAAGGTGCCCAAAAAGATATACTGGAAAAGGAACCATTTCTTCAACACATGGTGTTGGTCAAACTGGATATCCACACTGAAGACTGAAACTTCTATTCTCACCCTATACAAAAATAAACTGAAAACGCATCAAAGACCTTAATGTAAGGTCTGAAACTACTACTTTACAAATATGAGGGAAATAATTCGAGATACAGTATTGGTACGGACAATGACTTTTCAAAAGCACAAAACAAAAAAATCAAAACTTGCCAAATGGGATTGAACTAAAAAGCTGCATAGCAAAAGAAACAACAGAGTGAAGAGACAATCTACAGAATGAGAGAATATATTTTCCAGCTATTCATCTAACAGAATATCCAAATATATAAAGAACTAAAAAAACTTAAGATAAGTAACCCAAATAAAAATGGGCATAGGCACTAAAGAAATACAAATGGCCAATAAACATATGAACAGGTGCTCAATATCACTAACCGTCAGGGAACTGCAAAGCAAGACTACACTAAGATACCATCACGCCCGTCCGAATGACCATTATAGAAAAACTAATAACAAAATATGCTTGCAAGAATGTGGACAGAAACTCTTACGCACTGTTGGTGGGAATACAAATTTGCATAGCCACTATTGGGAATAGTGTGGAGGTCCCTGCAAACAGAACTACCATATACTTCCGCAGTTCCACTCCTGTATATTTAAGGGAAATGAAGTAAGCATACAAAAGAGACCTGCATTCTTATCTTTATTGTGGCACTGCTCCTAACAGCTAAGATCAGGAATCAGCCTAGGTGCCTACCAACAGATGAACAGGTACAGAAAATATGGTGGGGATAGACCCAATGCATTATTATTCAGCCATCAAGAAAAATGAAATCCTGTCAACTGCAGAAAAATGGAACTGGGGTACATCATGTTAGGTGAAGTAAGCGAGACTCAGAAAACTATGGTGTATCTCTTATATGTACAAAGAAACAAACAGTTGATGTGAAAGTAGAATGATGATTCCTACGGTCTTGGAAGAATGACAGTGGGGTAGGAAGGGGCAAGGGTGGAGGGACAGTGATTGGATATGATCAGGGCACACTGTATGCATGTATGGAGATAACACACTGAATCCTATTAACATTTGCAATTAATATGCTAAGATATTTTTTAAAAAGAGTAATACAGAGAACCTTAGAGTAAAACTGCTAATAAAATTTTTTTGATTAATTAGTTGTTTTGTAGGAAATTGGAAAAAAGATTTCCATTATCAAATTTTCTCAGCTCTAACCTTCACAAATCCTCAACATAATTACCTCTAAAAGGTAATAGTTATTAGATATAAGAAAAACATATATAGACAAAAGACTAATGTAACATTTTAGAGGCAGTGTGGACAGCTACCCTGAAAAAAAAGAATCGTACATTAAAAATAGGAGGACAGGACAGTTTGATTTACTTCTCTTTCTGCACAAAATCTGGATACTACAGTAAGCATTCCTTCCACAAGCTCCCTTGTATCTTGTCCCTGGAATTCAGGCAGCACTCTATGTTATAAAATAATGGCTCTTTCCAAAGACTGAGCGAATCAACTTTTCTAATTTTGCCACTTTTTTCCCACCTTAGGTATGTACTTTACCTACAGTCATCTTTACTCGGAAAGAAGAGATGTCCTCAGAATCTTTTCCACTAAAAAGAAGAAAATGTGAGGCACAGCATTCCATGTGATATGAGAAGAGATGGGATTCAGTAGCAGCACACAACACTGGAAGTATTCTGGTGGAAAAATACTACTTGAGAAAAAGCTATGACATTAATTACCAAATTCTAGGTGACAATAGTTTGTTTTTTTTTAAGACATACTCTGTATACCTTGCTTCATTGAAGCTGTGGATTTTATAGAAGTTACATTTATATTGTGTGAAGTCTGATTATTTTACCATAAGGCTGATGAGAAATAAGTTCAATTAAATTCAGAAAACAAGCTTTATTACCTTAATTACATGTATTCTTTTTCACTTCAAAGCTCTCAAACAGTAGCAGATCTACAGGAAGGAATCACTGTAAAATAACGCTCTGCAGTTGTTTGGGATGACACACTTTGTAGACAAATGTAATTGTCCATGGAACTAACAACTCAATATCTACCTTAAACATTAAATTCACTATGAAATTAACATCTTTCGAAATCCTGTATCTTAGCTCAGGCTGCTATAACAAAACCCCCTAACTGGGTGCCTTAAATAACAGTAATTTATTTCTCATTTTGGAGACTGGGAAGTCTGACATCAAGGTACCAATTCCATTCTTAAGCTTCTCTTTTTGGTTTAGAGATGGATGCTTTTTTGTTATATCTTCATGTAAGGCAGAGATCAACTCCCTTGTGTTTCTTTTTATAATGGCCTAGTCTTATTCATGAGGGTTTCACGCTAATGGCATGATTACCTTCAGAAGTTCTAGCTCCAGTTACCACGCTGGGGTGAGGGCTTAACACATGAATTTTTTTAAAAAACAGATTCAGTCTGTAACAATCTGCACCTGGTTCCACCAAATTCATGTCCTTATCACATGCAAAATACATTAAATTTATCCCAACAGACTTTATTCATTCCTGCATCAACTCCAAGGTTTCATCACACTATCATCTAAATCACGTAGATAAAGCCAGCATGGTTATGCACACCTGAAATCCCAGCACTTAGAATGCTGAGGCAGGAGAATCACCTGAGTATGAGGCCAGCCTGGGCTACATAGTTCCTGGCAGCTTGAATTACACAGTGAGACTCTTTCTTAAAAAACAAAATAAAAAAATCAGGTAGGTGATACTCAAGGTAGAATTAATCCTGAGGCAAAACTCTTCTCTAGCTATGTACCTGTGAAGCCAAACAAGTTATGTGCTTCCAAAATGTAGTATAGTGGTAGGACAGGCAATGGATACATACTCCCATTTCAGAAGGTGGAAAGAGTGACGGGTCTGCAGTAGGTCCAAAATTTAGCAAGGCAGACTCCATGAGATCTTAAGGTTCAGAAATAATTATCTCTGGCTGGATGCTCTGCCTTCAGGACCCATTGAGACAGGGGTCTTCTCCCCAGGTCTCTGCTCGGTAAAGTCAGGCCCTCACAGCTTTGGATGGCTCCAGCCCTAAAACTCCAGGAAGACCATCGGGCCTGTTGAAACCAAGATGATGACTGCCTTTTGAAACAGGATGCATGTCTGAAGATCTTTAAGTCACCTTTAGAGTCATTCTTTCTTTGTCTGGAAGAATAGTATACATTCGTGGCCAAAAATCCATGGTCTTGTCCTATAAATTCCCAGACGTCCAGCTACCTTCATTTTGTTTCATCTCCATTTCCTCCAGCTGGAACTAGCAGTGTCCCTGCCAGACTGGCTGGGTAAGGCTGTAGTTATACCCATGTTCATCTTATTGGATGGTCTAGTTGCACCCTTAAGTTTTCTCTTTTGAATGTTTTCTTCACTTTTGTAATGGGGCAGGCTGAGAATTTTCCAAACCTTTAAACTCTGGCTAATGTTGGTTAATAACTGTGTCTTCAGTCTACTTCTTGCTTATCCTATTTCACTGTACGCAGTCAGAAGGAAGCAAGCCACTCCTTTAACACTTTGCTTAATGCACTCCTCAGCTGTATACCCAACTTCATTACTCTTAAGTTTCACCTTCCACCAACACTAGAATATAAACACAACTTAGCCAACTTCTTTGCCATTTATAAAAGATCTCCTTTCTCCCAGTTTCCAATAAAATGTTACTCGTTTCCATCTGATGCCTCATCAGAATGACCTTTACTATACTTTCTGTTCATAATGATCCATACATTCTCTAAGAGGCTTTGTCTCCAGCTTTCCTCGATACTTCCTCCCTCAACAAAATCACCTTTATCAATCTCCAGAAGACAATATTAGCTTCTTCTATCATACATCTTAATACTCTTCCAGCTTCTACCCATTACTTCATTCAAAGCTGCTTCTACATTTTTATGCTTTGGCTACTACAGCACCCCACTTCTTGATATCAACTGCTATCTTAGTTTTAGCTACTGTAACAAAAACCTATGAATACTATGACTTAGATAACAGAAATAGGTTTCTCACAATTCTGGAGGCTGGGAAGTCCAACATCAAGGTGTTGCCCATTTCAGTTCTTGGCGAGGCTCCAAGGTAAGGATTGATTTTCTTTGTGGTTTGGAGATAGATGTCTTCTTGCTGTATCCCCACATGATGGAGAAAGAAATTATCTCTCCCATGCCGCCTCTTATAAGGTCACTATTCCCCTTCATGAGGGCTCCACCCCATACCTACTTACTTCTCCAAAGCCCCACCCCAAATACAATCGTTCCAAGAGAAGTAAACTTCTAGCAATTAACTTCAAAAAATGTATTAATAGCCTCTTAGTTACCATGTACCCACCACATTACAAATAAAACACAAGTAAGTTTTAGGCATTTGCATGGATCTCAACATCTGTTTCAAATGTACACTTTCCAAATCAAGAGTCAGAGTGTTTGGATATTTCAGAGACAAACCAAGGCTTTAACCCCACACATTAATTTGTTAGTATATCTCTGCATGGTATTTATCTTGGCAACTTGTATTACAAAAACTAACAGAAGATGACTTTTAAGGAAAATTTCCTTTTGTGTATACTTAGGAACATCTGGTATATAAAAAACAGAGACTTCTGGTTTCTGGAGAACAAACCAAAATATCTTAAGAATATCATTTCTTACCTGAGATTACACAGCTAAGCAAAGGGGAAGCTCTTTTTATTTGTGACCTATATCTCAGAATGGTAGATTTTATAATCTTTTGATTTTCAAATTTAAAGTCTATTAGAGGTTCCAATGAATAGGAAAATCCTAGGACTCTTTCATTTAAGGTTGCCCAGAACAAAATGTAAGGAGGAGGGAAAAGTGGTTAGGGACTTTTTTTTCAGTACTAGGGACTGAACCAGGCCTTCTCACTGAGCTACAACCATGCCACCCAACCTCGTCCTGCCCTCTTTTGAGACCAGTTCTTGCTAAGCTGCTAGATTGCCTGGGCTGGGTTTGAACTTACACTTGTAATCACTTTCCTCAGACTCCCAGGGCACTGACATCAGAGGGAGGTACCAAGGAGCTACCTCCTCCCTCGCACTCCTCTTGTCAAGGGCAGGAGCAGGGGCGAGCTTTGAGAAGAAACTGGGCTGTAATGAACAATCTGAGTTTAGAAGTCCAGGCGGAGTCTTCTTCCCTTCACTTGGGCATTAGCAATCTCTGGCTGCTGATTCAAGGGTGAAAAGAGTAGTCTTTTAGTGCCTACCTCCTCTTCAGTTTTTCTCATTGCAATCATTGTCGGCAAGGTGATCCAGGAATCTAAAGTCCTTCAGCCCACGAAGACCTACTCTAAACTTCCCAATTCTAGAGGCATAGTAATATGAGGCAATGGGATTTTTTGGTTTCGTTTTCAAATCTGAGTGATAAATCTACAGTACACATTAAGATACAAAGAAACAGCTTTGGATCTTAGGTTCTAGGACCTCGATTCTAGGTGAAGCTCTTCTACTCACTAGATATGTTTACTCCATCTTAAAATAGAAAATACAGTGGTACCTTGGTTTATGAATTTAATTTGTTTTACAATTTTGGAGAAGATGGTTGCATTTGTGTTTGTGTGGGGAAGATGGCTATGCTTATGTTTGTTGCCTGATGGGAAGTTTGTGAGCTGAAGCAAAATTTTGCGGAATGCTTTTGTTTGCGAACCAAATTGTTTGTGAAGAGAAGCACTTGTGAACTGAGGTATTACTTTATGCCTTAGGGTACTGTTTCAAGAGTTAAAAAAACGTAAGCAAAAGCTCTGACATACTAACCTAATGGAAAACATTAGATGAATTTCAACCTCTAATCAGTAGGAAGTGTCAGAAAGTGTATATGGGTGGCGAGTAGAAGGAAGCTGGCTTCTACTGTAAATTTTCTACTTTTTGCTTCCTTCAGATTCATTTCCCTCTAGCTCAACCTCTAAGAAAGTAATATATTTGGAAAACAAACCTAGAAGAGCTGTATTTTTTTTTTTTTTTTTTTACCTAGGTGACAGGTACATTTGGTAACAACATGAAAGCACAAGCCACATGGGGACACCAGAAGTTCCACGGTGCTTGTGAAGCATGGGGCTGTGAGCTAAGTGTCTAGGCATGCTACAAAGAGGTACAGTATTTCACTGGTATAATTTTTCTTCCCAGTAGTATATATATGTAGGTATCAGTATGCTGCATACTGATAAGACAAAGCCTTGGTTAATGGCTTCAGGAAGGAAGGATAATTAGCAAACAGATAAAACAAATTTTTTATTTGGTCTTTTTGAGACAGGGTCTCATTATGCAGTTCAGGCTGGTCTTGAGCTCACTTGAACTTGCAACTATCCTCCTGCCTCAGCCTCCCTAAGGCTGGGATTACAGGGGCGTGCAATACCCAGCCCAGATAAAATTTAAAATGTTGGTCAAGTCTTAAGCCATTGAGTCAAACACAACCCTTGTGGATATGGTTACAGACCTTTATTTACTTTAGGCTACCAGTCACCCTGATTAAGAGATTTGTACTTATAAAAAAGGTTGATTTTTGAAAGAGATATTTGTCATTTTTTGCCTGCCTACTGCTCCATCACGTTTTTCCTTGGGAAACCCAGTTCAGATGGTTTGGATGGGGCTGCCTGTGTCCCTTTCTGTTCAGGGACTTAGGAGTAGACCTACAAACCAGGCCTTGTCAGTGAGAGTACTCCACCTCCTTGGGCCCACGTTATGGTGTGTCTGGATGACCCCTCAAATCCTCATGTAGTCATGCAGTCATGGGGCAGACTTCTAGAGTTTATGATTGGTCCATATATATAGGTGGGATAACTGTACTGCTGATGTCTGATGGCTTATTGAGGGGAACAGATAATGATTAAAAGTTTTTTTTATTTTGATCCATTTTGCATGCTTATATCTGGTAATCTGAGCAACTTATGTGAAGACAATAATTTGCAGTATAACAAACACTGGTGAATTCCTACAATCCTATCTAGTGAAACTCTGCATTGTTCTTTTAAAGCATTATTTTCTTATTCCTTTCAATGATTTGATCAATCTTCCATTCTTACATCTGGTAATCTCAGCAACTTTGTTGAAGATAACAATATGTAATATAACAAGTACTGTTAATCCCTATCATTTGATTTGAAACCCTGTATCACTTTTAATGTCCTTGCTTTGTTTTGTTTGTATTTTGCTATTGTTCTTTATCATGGTACTATTTTCTTTACAATAAAAAAAAGAAGACAAAGGGAAGTCATATGCACAAAATTCACAAGATTTTACTAGAATTTAAGTGAGAGAAGAAGATATAGTCAAGTTTTTGCAAAGAACATCTTCATGTTGAACTCTGGCAAAAAAAAAAAAAAAAAAAAAAAAGAGAACTCACGTTGCTGTTTCAGTCTCAACTGCCAGGTTACCAAAGAAATGTACCGTTTTCCTGACAGCCGTGCTGTCAGGAATACAGCCATCTTTTCATGACCCTTCATGCAGGATCAATACCTCAACAGTCCCGGACAGGAATTCTGAAGAAGGGCTTCCATTTCCGTGATTTGCCTCATTCAGCTGAGAACACTGCTGGTTACCACACAGCTGTTCACCAGCCATATGCTCTGGTCCACACGGCCTTCTTCTTAAACTCAGGGAGAGTTCTCAAGGACAACAGGGTGGCTAGGGGGTCAGAAAGCAGAGCACACTGCTGATTTGCTTGACAAGGCCACTTTCATCAAAAAGGTGTCAGGACAGAGTTGGGTTTTTCTCACTTGGCTAATCTTTCAGGCTAAAATTCCCATCAAGACTTGGAAGAATTTTAATGGCAGAAAACTATTTTAAAGGTTTGAGAGCTTGTTTGTTTGTTTTTTAACATCACTCTACAAATCAGTTATTGGCAAATTTTGTAGATTTCAAAATTAAAAACTGCCTCCTCTGGATTGCTGTGGATGTTTGTTTTCTTGATGTGAGTGTTAATTACATGGATGTATTCTCTTCACTAAAATCTACTTAAGATGTGTGCTCTTTTCTATGTAAATATAATTATCACCATTTAATGTTTAATTAAAGCCAAAAAAAAAAAAAAAGCCAGCTGTGGTAGTGCGTACCTGTAATCCTAGCACTCGGGAGACTGAGGCAAGAGGATCATCTGGGCTATATAGTGAGTTCAAGGCCAGTCTGAACTACATAGCGAGACCCTGTCTCAAAACAAACAAACAACCCCCCAACAAGAAAACCAAAAACTCAAGCCCATAAAAAAGTAAAGTTCATGTGCTTTGGAGCAAGAGTGACTGTGCTAAAATATATTTGGGCATGCACTCACAAGTCTATACTTTTGTGCTCTGTCACCAGTCCTCTCAAAGGTCAACTATTCTGTGTAATTCCTTTAGGTAACTTATTACACATCTTATTTTAGAATATTAATATGAACATATTAAAATGTTAGTTAAATATAGTATGTGACATTATTTAAAATATAGTGAACTTAAAATATCATGTAAGTCAGAGTTGCACAGCAATTATGTGTGATTCTAATAAGTTCATGATTATATAATCAAGTACTATATAATGTACTTCCTTGAACCAAATGAATACTTTTCTCATTGGTATCACTTGTTAACTTTGTAACCTAAGAGAGTATACGTTTAGAGCAACCGATGGCATTATGGATACATAGTCATTAAAAAGTATTCTAAACTCCCTGAGGTCAACAAACAGAGGAAGTCCTAACAGCAAGTCTCTAGGGATAGATCATATTCCAGATTCTCAACGAAGTTCATGTGGGGGTGCTGTTTTATCACCTAGATGCTTTCTCGCTCCTTTGGAAGGAGGGAGAAGGACTAGCACCAATGAATTCTTGCTTGTTTCTAACCAAAAAAAATATGCCACACTTAAAATATGGGCCACAGTAGGAATCTAGGCTGGCCAGCTAAGTTATTACAGGGCTGCCAACACGAGCAAGACCTTCCAGGGCACTACGTACAGCACATGTCAGGGACAGCAGCAGTTGCCACTGGCTCCAGACCCCGAGTCATGGATGACAAGCAGAAGCCATCTCAGGCTGCAAAAGCCAATGCCCAAATGGCTTCTCAGATTTGAGTAAAACAATCTACATAATTTTCAGGTGATCTTTTATATTTGAGGATTCTACATTCTTTTTTTTTTTTTTTTTTGGTTTTTCTCTGGTACCGGGAACCGAACTCACAACCTTGCGCATGCCAGGCAGGCGCTTTTGCCGCTGAGCTAAATCCCCAGCCCCTCTACATTCATTATTAACAAAGTCAACAGAAGAGAATAAAAGACATGAAAACTATCTAAATGCCTGATAGTATGGGAAATGCCTAGCTCCTTTGCAAAATACTATGTAGTCATTGATACTACTTATGAAGCTAGTATAATAGCAGGTTTAAATGCTTCAGAATGTTAAAAAGGCAATAATCAAATTGTCTATGTATATTTTATCAACTGTATATGATTATAAATATATAAAACAATGCTTGCACAATACAAATACTTCTGTGGAAATTATCAAAATTGTCTTTGGAAAATGAGACTTGATTTCTCATTCCTGTTCTTTTACTTCTCTGAATTTTCCTACTTATAATTAACACAATTATTTTACCATTATAATAAAATGTTTTAGAACTATTTAAATCAAAGTTAAATTTAAAGGCACTGGAACCATTTTTTGACCCCTTTTCTGGTTCAAAATGCCACGTTAGTGGCCATGCCAGACTGCTGAGCTAAACCAAACCAAGCCTCACAGGAGCCAATATACATGTATATGCCCTTCTGCATCACAGACATCTATACTGGACACAAGGCATGAAGTAATACCTTTTAAAAGATCCTTGGACTTGGCTGAGAGAGCTTCTTTAGGACTTTCCATGATGTTGAACAGCCAATCAATGAACTAGAGTGAAAATAAACAATGTCAGTGAAGAAAATCCTACTATCAGCATGAGATCAGTCCATCCTCTGGGCCTGCATCCATGACCAAATTACAATAGTCTTTAGGTAGTTCCTACCTGGGCTGGGTAGTAGAGATGAAACAGGGACTGAGCACAAGATATGGACAAAACTCATATTTAGTCAAAAGGCCTCATAAAGTCTTAACAACTTCCCCTGCTTAATACCATGAGACCTAGAATAGATTTTAAGAGCAAGCAGCCATGGGTCCAAGGGGTCTGGGTGATTATCTCTAACTACTCTGAGAGACCCAGAGAGGATTATAGCTTTGCCCAATTCTACTTTCAATGAATAGCAGAGCCAAGATTTGAACCCACATATACCTGGCTCCAAAGCCCTTTGCATCATGGTTCCATGTGCACTGGGCCTACATTCCTAGGCTGGGAGGGAAATACAGAACTCAACAAACATAAGCTATTGTTACTGAAACAAATAAATGTCCGTAGATGAACAGAGTTTGTGCCCAAATGAATATGAAATAGAAATTTAAACACAAGAGGCTTAAAATAATTTAGGTAGAGCCAAGTGTGCTAACTGTGAATAAATCCTACACATGAGGTAGAAACTCACAGTACTCATGCATTTGACTGATTTCCAGGATGCAGCCCAAATTGTTTTTCAATTAGACACACAGTAATTTCATCAATGACTGAATATTACCCATCTTGGCTCACTGAAAAACACGTAACATTACTGATAGGTATTAGCCATACAGACAACGAGAAGCTGAGTCAAAGAAAGCTAAACAGAAAGAAAACATTCCTGATTTCCTGCTTTGATTAAAAATTTTTCCTTATTTTCCTTTTAAAATTTTGTTTTATAATATCCTACTAGTAGGTGAATAAATCAAGCACTACAAATAATATAATTGATGCAAGATGTTTCCTCCACTATATTCCAAAGTGAACATGGTGTCTCAGTCCAGAAATAACATGCAGGGAGACCACACTTAAATTTATGTTGATGTAAAGTGAAACACAAAGTACAAAACTTGGGGCAGCAATACTGGTGCTTATCAGATTTAAAAGGGAAAAGAATTTATTTGGGATACTCTATGGAGTTACGCAGAGCTAAACTGTAGGTTCACAGTTCAGAAATATTTTTAAAGATTAATGTTCAGCTTTCAAGAATAAGCAATAAAAAGTTAGACTTAAGCTTTCACCCTCATGAAAAATCCAGTTTTGATTAAGTGGGATTCAAAAAGAATCCTCCAAGCAACAGTACTAAAAAGAGTAATGAGAAGTCTGGGAAGCACAGTATTTCACAGGTTCTGCTCGTGGCCTTGGGGCCTCACATTAAAAACCCAAAAGGTATTTCCTGCAGTTTGGGTTTTCCTGAGGGCAAAAGCAATGATATCGGGCTTTTAAAAAAACTCCGTTTGGCACCTGTCACAAGCAGGGGTTGGTATCATTCTCTGAGACTCTGTATCTAGCAGATATTTAGGCCTTAGTATTAGGGCCTGTGGTGTGATTCAAGTTTCACTTAACTCCCACCTCAAGTCTATGGTAGGAACTGCTACAGACAAAAGCTCATCTGCCCTGCTGAGCAGGTGGTAGCCAACCTCACCTTCTGGGTCTGTTCCTTCCAGGGTTCTTTCTGCAGCAGCAGCAGCATGCTACTGGGAAGAAGAGTAATAGCCTCTTGCAGAGTGACCCTGGGGACTGCACTCTTGCCAAGGAAGCTTGATGCTGACTCACATGGGCCATTCTGATGCCATGGTAACCAACTGGCACTGAGGCCAAGGAGAAGTGGAGCCTCATGGTCTGCCCATGCCACCACTGCGGCAGCAAATATCAGCAATAAGAAGTCCAAAGCCTGTGATGGAAACAGAAGCAACATCAGGTCATGTATTTCAGCAATTTAAAGTAACACATGTTCACAGATACAGTCCCCATCACAATGCAAGGGCACGTTTGCCTTCTCCCACTCCTGCTCCAAAAGAGGACTTGGACTGAACAGCAAACTCCATTTCCATGCTTAATGAAGACACCTTTTAAGGCTTTACATGGTTTTTAAGGTTCCCTGAAGTGAAGATGAAAGATCCAACAGCTTCATTATCCATCCATTTAGATTTTAGACTAATCTACACTCATTAAAAAAAAAATCTAAACACTAGTAATAGGGGTTTCTCTGAGTTGTTGAATTACTATGACTTGAATTATACATCTTTCTGGTAATCTGTATTCTCCATGTCTTTTAAAGTTTTTGTAAGAAAACAGAGAAAGTTAATAAAAACTGAGGAAGTCCAAAGAAAAAGGAACAGATTATGCTAACTTAAAAACTCCTCAATCTCCTAAAATCCTACTCCAATGAACTGAAATTTAAAAAAAAATAAAAATGATGCACAACTCTTCAGGAAAACTGGACAGATTTTCAAAGAGCATTCCAAGTCCTGCAAATTTTACTTACCCATGAAGCATGCTTATAAAAACATTTTTTTTTTTTTACTAAAATTATACTGCAGTCCATTCAAGAAAATGGGAATGAGAAAGAGCTATCTTCCTTTTATTTATTAATCTTTTCTTTTTCTCAAAACTCAGTACCAGAGCTTCCTACTGTTTGGGTCATAGGTCATTTTGTATGAGTGGTGAAAATTCTTTTCCAATATGTGCACACATGCAGGTAAGTACTGGCACACACAGTTTATTTGCATACACTTCACGAATCTCCATATATGGGCCACAGCAGAGGCCAGACCTGGTACTGCTACATCCTTTCATAAACAAATATTGATTTTGTCCTTTTAAATTTTTTTTTTAAAAATGGGGATTCCCAGCACAGTAAAGACTCCTCAGGAAGATTTACAAAATTTAGAGAATACAGAAAATGAAAATTAGATATAAAGTTGGCTAGTTGGAACCAAAGACAACATTAAATTATTTCAGTTTACTGCCATAACATCCTTTATGGGATGAAACTTAAGCGTATAGGGCCTTGGGTTCCCTCTCCGGTGGGTATCCTTTTGGTTCTGCCTATCATGGAGCATGTTTTGCAAAAGATAGCCCCAGATGTCTCCATGACCATGGTAAGAACACCTGCTTCCTGGGGCAGCAGAGTCATTGCCAGAACTTCTCTAGGATAACAGAAAGGGGACAGAAAGACAAGTTGCAAGCAGCAAGCAATGGTTTGGATCCTGAATGTCGCTCCCAATACCCATGTGTTACAGGGTTGGTCCTCAGAGTTGCACTCCGGGGAGTAGGTGAAACCATGAGAGCTGGGGCCCAGTGGGAGGTCTTTGTGTCACTGAGATTTGTCTCAAAGGGAACAGCAGGCCCTAGCCCTTTTCTCTTTCTCTCTTTGGCCATAAGGTGAGCAGCTTTACTCAGTGATATATTCCTTCCACAGTGTGACTGCATTAACAGGTTCAAAGCAATGGGGTCCACTGATCATGACGAAAAGCTCCAAACCTGTGAGCCAAAGTAAAGTTTTCCTCTTTGCAGGTTATTACATGAGGCATCCGTTGTACAAATGGAAGGTTAACTAACACACAACAATGTATTCCTTTTAATATAACTTCTAAGTATTTATAATATTAAGGGTACTATAAACGTCTCCTCTAGGTTGTACCTCTTGAAGCACTGCATTCTGAACAGATATTGACTGGTAAGCAACATTTCTGATATAACCCATCAGTTCCAGTAGCCACTCCATTCTCTTCAGCACACCTAAAATGAAAAGGGTATTTTCTTACTAGATCATAATTTTGCTTTGAAATGTAAAACAGATCAGTAATAACTATTTTAACTGAGGCAAAACACATGGTGAAGATTTCATTAAACAGTTTTAAGTTCTCTTGCAATGTCTGAGACTTATGATTGCCTGTGAGAGAGTTGAGATCTTTCATATCGGGTAACAATATTTTGGTCTTTACTCCCAAATAGGAGAGGGATAAAGTGATGGAAGAAAGGGGAAGGGGATGAAAAAAAGAATTAAGATGTGTTATGCACATTTACCAACTCCCTACAAGGAATGTAAATGTTATGTACTGCAAACATGTACTAATAAAAAATTAATTTAAAAAGTGAATCTATTCTTTATGCTTCTCTGCTCAGTAGTGCTGTTATATTTATTGGAGTGTCTTCTCAACATTACACACACTAGGAGAAATATGACATACAAACGAACCAGTAAGGTTGAATTTGCGTAATTAGTTGTTCAAATGTTCCAAATTTATGCCAAAATTACAGAGAAAACCTATCCCAAAGATATACAAAAAAGAAAAACCAGTCATTGTAGTGTAACTGGAAAACAAACATCAGCAGAAATATTGATTTTGTCCTTTTCATTTTTTTTTTAAAAAATGGGGAGTCCCAGCAAAGTAAAGACTCCTCAGGAAGATTTACAAAATTTAGAGAATACAGAAAATGAAAATTAGATATAAAGTTAGCTAGTTGGAACCAAACACAACACTAAATTATTTCAGTTTATTGCCAAGTATCTTCAATTAATTTGGAAACACCTGATAGATTTATTTCTTCCTGGAAAATATCTTATGAGTTTAAAATAAAAAAATTCAGTTTTTCATTGCAGGTTCATTTTTTAGTGGGGAGGCACGAATACAGATATAAGGAAACTGTCTTAATTGCCAAAGATAAGAATAAATAAAAATTTCTTATGTAGTCTTATAGAATATTACCGTCACGTTTGTCAGTTTTCCCTCAAAACCATAAAGACATAAGAGATAGACAGGAAAATAGGTTCATAAACGTAAGTAACTTGCTGAAAATCACAAAGGCTTCTCAGCCACATCTGACCCACTTAAGCCTGATGCCATTAAGAATCTGAATGCAGTGTTGAGAAGTCAGCACATGACCCAAAAGATCCAAGGAGCTAAGGGACAGCTCTGTTTCCACATGATTATTACAGTACAATGTCCAAAATGGCCCAAAACTTGTACAATAGGACTCACTGGCAGAGCTTCAGTCTTGAGAACGGAGGTAGCTTGTCTAGACTGGTATTTTCACTTTTGGGAAGCTCTCCTACAATAGTGATAGCACACCTTTTACAGCTTTCAATGATAATGAGCAGCCTGCTGTGGCATGTGTGCTGTAGGCTCGCCACCACTGTCCTGTAGCATAACTATTCAATTTGGTTGTTTCATTTTGACTATTTATTAAATGACAATCCAAATGCAATTTCCATTAACTCATCAGGCAGAATTAATCTATATCTTATGTGTTTGGGAAACAGAGTTAAATAGGCAGACATGACATTTGTTTCCATTCTTGAGGATCTAGAGGGACAAATACAATATAAAAACCCTCAAGAGTTCATTGCCACATCCAAAAAGTAGGTGCTGTGAGCTATAACTGCTCATTTTCATCTAAGTCCTCTTCACTTGGGGTAAGAAGGACTAAATTGTACTGAGAAGCACTAAACTCTGAAGTTGAGAAAACAGAAGACAGCAATCAGCTGTTTGTGCCCCTGATGCTGGCCCAGGCTGGCCTCACCTGTGTTTGCGTGGCTCACGACCCGTGCTTGGTACAGACTGAGCATAACCATCCAGGCCAGGGTCTCCCTCTCACTGTGCTGCACGGCGACACTGAGCAAGTCAGTCAGGCTCATGAGGGGGACTCGTCCTTGGGAGACTAAGTACAGCTTGACCAAGGCAGCCTTTTCCACATTGCTCTATAAAAAAGCAAGTCATTGAGTCACTATTAAATTAACTAAAGTGGTTATATAACCTCAGGGCAAGGGCAACACAGAAAGAGTGAATCTGATGTTATCATTCCAAAGGTAAGAACTGTTCATTTCCTGCAGCATGTGACCTTATCTGCCTGTGTGGAAAATTAAAATGCACATACAATAAAGAGTTGTCATGTCACCTGTTTCTCCATAAAAAACACGAATGTGTTTTGAAGTTAACAGATAATATTTAGAAAGCATACACAAATAACAGTAAGAAGACAGCTAGCAAGTATAGTACTTATCCTATGCGAAACACCATTCTAAGCACTTAACATATATTAATCCAACAGTTCTCAAAATATTGTACACACATCTCTAGGGATCCCAAGACCATTTAAAAGGTTCTGTGGAGTCAAAACTATTTTTATAATCACACCATACTATACTAGTGTTCACTGTATTTTTCATAAGCGTTTGTAATTTTTTTAAAAAAGCCAGTTCTACTTAACATATCCTTGTAAACAATAAAACCTTATTAGTTTCATTAAATCTTGGCCCTTGAGTATACATCTTTTTAATATTTTATGAGACAAACTGGGAAATAGGCAAAAGGAATTTCTGCTGTATAGGCAAGGACCAAGGTTGTCCCAAGGAAAAACACCTGTAAGATCGAGTTGTGAGCTAAAACAGAACTCATCTAATGAAACACCGTTTACTCGAAAGGATGATGGAGAAACCATGCTTATTCAAATTAGGTATTTAGGAAGTGAGTTTGCTGCTTCAAGGAAAATATCCCACAGTATTTGCTGTCAATGATAAAATTTGAGCTTTCTAGCAAAAATTAGATTTCCAGAAAATCTGTATCTGCTACGATGAAGTTCTTAATATGAAAAAGGTTTTTCTGATAAGATTGGTAGAGATATTAGCAAATATGATGTTTTGATACTGTATAATCAACACTTAGAAGATCTTCAAAGCCTAGTGATCCAACATTTTCCAAATGACCAGTGTATGGTATAAAATCATGCATGGGTAAAGACTTGAAGTGTAAGACAGACCAAATGGATTTTAATGTAACACAGTATATGAATTTTATTGACATGGTTTTGGATTCCATATTGAAAATAACCTTTAAGAAATTATTAACATGCTCTTCCTCTCCCCAACTACACATCTGTGTGACGTTGAAATTTCTTCACATACTTCACCAAAACCATAGCACACCAAATCGAATGAAGAAGCTGCCATGAGAATCCAGCTGTCTTCTGAACCAGACATTAAAGAGATTTGCAAAAATGTTGAACAATGGTTCTTTTCTACTTTGTGCACACAGTTTTTGAAAATATTTTTTCTCATTTGTGTTAAAATATAATGGAGCTAATATTCTGAAGTAAATATTTAAATATTTTCCTAGTTTTAATTTCTTGTTTGTTTGTTTGTTTGTTTTGTTTTGTTTTTCTCTGGTACCAGGAACTGAACTCATGACCTTGCGCTTGCCAGGCGGGCGCTTTTGCCGCTGAGCTAAATCCCCAGCCCCTTTCCTAGTTTTAATTTCTAATGAGGCCAATATTAGCATACATATACGTAAGTAAAAGCTCTTCAGAATCTCCACTATTTTTTTTCCCACTATTTTTTAAAAAACTAAAGTGTTCCTGAGATCAAACATTTGAGATCTGTCCTATTAACCATTTAGTTCACACACTAATCCTCTGCAGTAGAGTACGATCACCCCTTTACAGATGAAGAAACCAAAGCACAGAGGTTAAGTAACTTAGCAAGGACTATATAGCTATTGCAGATAGTAACAGCTGGAATTTAGAGGGTTTGTATGCTTCAGCACTACCTTCTTTTTCTTTCTCTGCTTTCCAGAAACAGAAATAGAAAACTCTGGCCTCAGCGGAGCGGACTAATTCTTTTGGGGACATCAGAAAGCAGTACGTTACAATGACAATGTTCTGAACAGCACCTTAGCAACCCAAGCAACATAGCAACCTTCAGCTCTAGGTACCAAGAGGTAAACCATAGGCATTATCTCCTACTATATTACATGAATGTAATAATAGGTTATACATTATTTAGTTACATGAATTATTATAATAAATAATTACTAAGTCCTTGAGCTATTTCATGTACTTAACAAGCATTAAGTCATTTAATTCTCAAAAACAAAACAAAACACTAAGCAGTGTGTGCTATTATTTCCCTTTTATAGATGAGAAAGCTAAGGCAGAGAGGGGTTATGAAGCTTAACTAAGTTCACATGCTAATAAAATACCGAACTAAATTTCATATCTGAGTAGTGAGACTGCAAGCCATCTCTTAGCACTTCCCTGTACTGCTACTCTTTGTTTAAAACACACTGCAGGAAATCTCCAAAATACTGATATTCCAATACTTTGAACACTGGCTCTCAACTTTAGCACATACCAGCCTCACCTGGAAAGACTGTTAAAGCAGACTCCTAGGTGCCACCTCTAGAGTTTCCGGTTCAGTTAGCCTAGAGTGGGATTGGACAATGCACATTTCTAAACAGTTACCAGTCAGCACTGATGCCACTGATCTGGGGTCTACACTTTGAAGGCTACTGCTATATAATACAGAAATTTAAGGCTCTAGCTGATGAGGCAAATCTGCCATAATCATAAATAACAAGATGCCCGCCAGCTGCTTGTGGGAGGTGAGGAGTAACAGTGTTAGGTGCATGCAGGGCTGCGCTCACGTTAGTATGCCAATTGGGATGCTGAAAACATGCACTGTTTACCTGCACTCAAATTGAACAGAACACTTTATATTTACACAACATGGCAACTTTATTTATGTGCTACGTTTTACTGATTTATCACTTGACTAGGCAAGGGGTACTTATAAATCACTCTGTGTTAGGACTGACAGCGCTCATTTCTCAACTACTCTTCTGCGTTTACAAAGAAGAGCAATGGGTACAAACATACAAATATGAGAGCAGAATTTCCGGAAATTAACCAGTAACAAATATGAAGCTAGGGCCAGGGATATAGCTCAGTAGCACAGCGTCTGCCTAGTAAGCCTGAGGTCCTGGGTTCGATGTCTGACACCAAAAAAAAGACGCTAAAGTAGCTTTAGTCAAAAAGACAGTATAATCACTTTTTCAATTGTTATATATATATATATAGAGAGAGAGAGAGAGAGAGAGAGAGAGAGAGATTTGTTATTACCTTAGTAATCTGGGAAACTCTGTTGGCATCATCATCTGTCATTTCTGAGAGGCATTTTGCCACAAAGATATACAGCTCTAAACAACTTCTCTGTTAAAAGAAAAATCCCAAGCATATCTATGTACAATATAAAACAAGAGTAAGTCTATTCTTAACATTCTGACAGATTATCATCACCGTGAACAGCCCATGATGAGATTTTAATTTTAACCAAACCTGAACAAATAGCCAATTTTCTTTAAGAACATCTTTCCTGTTGCTTTGGGCATTGGTTGGCCTGTACTCTTTCTCCTTATCAGAATTCTATCTCTCCAAGGGGATTTTTAACTTCTTTGTAAAAATTTGTTTCAAATATCTGTTATGGGGGTTAATATTAAGCTATTTTATATAACTATCATATTGAACAATATGCCTCAGGAGTCTCCAGTTGCAAAGTGTAAAGACCTCAGGGCTTGTGGATCTTTTACAGGGACCTCAGTAAAAAGGCCTAACAGCAAATTTCCCAGTGCAGCACTGGTTAGCCTGCTTCTAAGCATGCTCAAAATTTTGGTTCTAAATACTAAATCTCAACTTACATCTTGGAAGCAAACACACTCCTAGTGAAGTATGTGGTTATTTCTTGCTAGTCCCTCTCCCACCCCCACATTCTTAAAACACACATTTCCCACTTTGCCAAAAAGACCTTAAAAAAGTCCAAACGTAAACTGTCAGGAATGTAAACATTTTTGTTCCTACCCGAATCTTATTTGGCAGCAGGTCAAAAATCTTCCCAGTAGCTTCACAGAGCAGACTCCAGAGGTGGTAGGCAGGGCTGGGCAGTTTCATGGCCTGGCTCAGACCCTGTAAGGCACTTGGGCATAACTCAGGACTGTATAGTGGGGAATCTGCTGTAAAAACTGCCACCATTAAGTTTTCAACAAAACTCTGGATCTGTTCATCAGTAACATGTTTTATCCAGACAGGCACAGATACCAGGAGGTATTTCTTGATATTCAACTGGAAGTAAAACAGAAGAGGTCAGGTATAAACAGGTGCCTCCGGGTTTGCAGTGCTCAAAATTCTAGGTCAGTGATGGTGAACTTTTTAGAGACTGAGTGTCCAAACTGCAACCCAAAACCCACTTATTTCTTGCAAAGTACCAGCACTGCAATTAAACCTGAATGCTCCGCTGCTTCAGTGATGCTGGGGTAACTTGGCTTGCGTGGGGGCTGGGGATTTAGCTCAGCGGCACAGTGCCTGCCTGACAAGCACAAGGTCATGAGTTCGGTTCCCGGTACTGGAAAAAAAACAAAAAACAAAAACAAAAACAAAAAAACTTGGCTTGTGTGCTCACAGAGGGTTCCATGTGCCTGCTGTGGCCACCACTGCTCTATGTTATCACTGACCTTGTGGGCAGACTCAAGAGAAAAGGATCAGTTCCTCTACCCTCTCCCATTTTCCCATAGCTTCACAGCCCAAGAGTTCACCAACGTGAGTAATTTTGGCTGTTGCAGTGACTTCTGATCCAGGGCAGCTAGTGAGTATGGGATATCTGCCAGTCCCTCTGTGAAACTCTCAGTTTAAACCTAGGATCTTGTCAGAGGGGAGAATAAAACGCTCCTTCTAAAAGTACATGACAGTTGCTGTTCAGTTTTAAAAGGCCACATTCTCCAGCAAAACAGACTCCGAAGATGAAAGGCTCATTTGCTGGAAATCAATTAAACAGAGTGTCTGGTATTAGTAATTTGTTCTTCTAAGGAAACATAAGGAAGTAATAAGCAGAACAGGCATGCTGGAGCCACTGCTCAGAAAGAACCACTAGCTGAAGATGGGGAACTGACCAAGGGGTCTCAGAGTTCAAACAGCCAAAGAGGGGTATAGTTAGTCTCAGCTCTGCTATGTGACACAGACTTTAAAAGACTGTGCCTCAGAATGTCCTAGAAGTATGATGCTGAAGGACAGAAAGTCTAAAAGAAGTAGCCTAAAAAAACAAAATCAGTAACTTTCCAAAAAATTCCATGAAGTTGCCATAAATTTTCTAAAGAGCTCATTTTAAATATGCTATCTCAGATCATTTTATCAAAAAATAAATTTTAGAACAATCTGTTAACTAATAAAGGTAAAAGGAAAGATTCATAACCAAAGACAAATGCAGAGCTGTAGCAATTTGAAAAGGAAAGTTCACTAAAATCTAGAAAAATTTCCAAAGTTCAACAAAACAGGCTGTTCAAGGCATACCTGGTTCGAAAGAAAGCAAGAGTTAACAAAATGGGCTCTGGGGTCAGCTATATTTTGAACTCTTATTAGTTAGCTATGCAAACTTTGCCTGACTTCTAGGCAAAGTCTTAGTTTATCAACCTACAAAATGGAAATAATAAAATGCATTTCTCAGCCACATAAAATGAATTCATATTGTAGATTCTATAAAGAATTTCTTATATATATGGGATTTAAATTTATATCCACATTCTTTTTAAAAAGGCAATTTGTAGACAGAAGATCAGTGGTGGTCTGGGACTGGGGTTGGGAGTATAGATTGAAAACACATACAATGAAATGTACTAGAAGTGTTCTTAGAAATGATTGAAAACTTAAATGTACTAAAACATGTTGTAAGTTTATACTTACAATGGTTATTTTAGGGAATATAAAATTACAACTAAATAAAGTTATTTAAAAATTGACCTGCCAGAGTTGTAGAGATGAAATTTAAAGTCTTCAAGTACCCACTGAGTGTCAACAGGTACCAGATACATAGCAAGAACTCCGTAGATGGCAGGTGGCTGGAAGCCACTTGGAGTGACAAGGTGGGGTAATGAGAAGAGCAGACAGAAAGGGTGCAGACCTCAGTGACACGCACCTTCAATTTAAGAAGATGGAGAGCAGTAGAAGGGGCTAAAAAAAGCCATAAAAATCAATGAAGAGTAGGAACGGACTAAATATAAAGTCGGGAAAATAATAGGAGGGCTTTGCACTAGTTTTGAGAATTAAAGCCTCTCAGAACTGAAAGTCAGATTGTGGTGAGAATTTGAAGATGAATATTTAATTTGTAATCAGCTGGTAAACATTTGAAATTATGGAAGACAGCTGACCTAGCTTGAAATATACTCAAAATTACACATTTTACTACCTTCACATCTGTGCACGTTCTTACTCTGCTTTTCTGTCTACCCTCACCTATACCCGGACGGTGCTAATCCTCTCTTCTCTATTACAAATGCCAGGCTGGGTCACCTCCTTCTCAGTGCTGCATGCAAGCTGAACACTCTAGCAGAGATGTTTCACTCTGTCTACCTATACTGTCACACCTACTTCTCCTTGTGGTTCTGACTTAATTCTTAACCAAATCCTACCAAGCCTTCCAGGCTCACTTTAACTGCTACCTCTTCTGGGGAAGGTAAGGATAATATATGGATGAATCCAGTGCAGGTGAATTTGCCTGTCTTTTAAAACCTACTGAAATAACTATGTATACCATATAATCAAATACAGATTCAAATAACTTCACATCTTTCTGGCTGTATCATCTTGAGAAAGAAGCTTTAATACCTTTGGTCACATTACTTTTTTTTTTTTCTTTAAATAAACAATAGCTAATATATCAATGGTAATGGCAATAGTGAGATTCTGAATCACATCATTTTCCAATCTGCGGGCCAAAAATTCAGTTTTTGTAAAAATCTCTTTTGTCCACTCTTGACTTTGAGCAAATGCTCATTTCTTCCAACTTCATCCTCCATTTACTCAACCCCCTTAACTGTTACGTACGCTCAGACTGTAGACGAGTGGAGGCATCACCCACAAGCCCAGCAATGCTGCTGCGCTCTGAGATGACTGCGCCTGTGTCACCATGATTTCAAGGCATAGCTGCTGTATCTCTTCACCTGAAACAGAAGAAAGGAGAAGAATTCTGTAATGTAGCTTGTTCTCTGGCTCATTTGTAGACTTTAATGTCCATACCAAAGCATCTGCTTAGGTGACTTCTGCAAGTGATAGAACTTTAATAAAGCAAAAGGAAAGAGACCCCATTAGTGGTGAGGCATAGAATGTCTGTCTCCACTGATGTCATAGTCTCAAGTCTTGGAACTGGCAGTGGCCTTAACTAACCAAGGAAATTTCTGTTACAACACTAGAAGAAAAACTCAACCACTAATAAAAATGAGAAATGGGTAAGGAAAATATAAAAAAGTTCTAGCTAGAAGCCTGTTTTTCTGCTCCTTTCTAGTTCATGTTCAACATATAGAGAAATGTGTCTGTGTCTGGAATAGCTTACAGACATAGCCACCTCCTTTAGTGATCAGGTCTTTTCTGTAGTCTGATTCCCATTAGTAGACTTATTTTCCAATTACATTTTTTCTACCCTCTAGGGTGACATCGTATGTATAAGACATAGACAATTCAAACAAAAACATTTACTAAAAACATGTATAGTCAAAAAACATCTTAATTCTCCCTTTTTTTCAGTTTTTATTTTTACTACTACATATTTGCAGTACATAATGATTGCATTTCTTGTGGGGAGTTAGTACACATACACAACACATTGAATTCTTTTTTTATTCCCCTTTCCTTTCTTCTTTCCCTCTCCCTCCACCTCTTGCTCCCTTCCCATTTGAAGAAAATCTATCTCCTTACTTCCTATGATCTATTTTTTATTTTGCTTTTTATTTACATTTTGGGTTTCTCGTGTAAAAGAAACCAAGCATTACTTATCAGTTATATTATACCAGTCACTCTGTACATCATATGTAAGTACTCTATTATAAGTGAAATAGCAGCTATGGCAAATATACATACAGTTTATAACACTGTTTAAATTGCTCATTTGCCTCCCTTGCTCTGGAAATGGGGCAGAAGCAAGCATATGAAATTATATTTCATGTGGTAATTCTATTTGGTACAAGAGAGGTTGCAGTAGGGGAAGAAGAGGTGCTAAGGTGTGCATTCCCTTTGCCACTCACCACCAAGAATCTCTGGTGGGAAGAACAGTGCACCCCAATAATGTCCATATGTTAATCCCTGGAACCAACAAAGATTTACCTTACACATAAATGAACTTTACAGACGTGATTAGGGCTAAGGACCTTGAGACTGGGAGATTATCCTGGATAGTTTAAGTGGCCTCATTAGTCACAAGAGTCTTTAAACACAGGAAATCTTTCCTAGCTGCACAGAACCAAAGAGATGTCAGTGTGAGAAAGCCTCAGTCCTTCATGGCTTGTTTTGCACATGGAAAAAGGGGGCTACAAGTCAAAGGATGTGGGGAGCCACTAGAGGCTGGAAAAAGAAAGGAATGGATTTTCCCCTAGAGACCCTAAAAAGGATTATGTTCCACTAGTTCCTTGAATTTAGTTTGGTGAGAATCATGTTGGACTTCTGGCCTATGGAACTATAAGCTAACTTTATTTTGAGCCACTAAGTCTGTGGTAAGTTTTTTTAACAGCCATAAAAACTACTAGAACATTCTACCTAGTGCTTTGTTGAAAGCTATGGCTCTGGAGGTATAGTTTGATAACCACCAAGCAAGATGCACACCGCACTCAGGCATTGTTTTTGATGATTACATCTGGCTTGCGTCTTTAGATTTCTCCCCCTCTACTCTCGGTTGCTGGAACTCAAAGAGTGAGAGTAACCCAGCTGCCCCATCTAAGATGACAAGCCTCAGGATCCCACAAGTCTACCAGTCACTTTCTACTGCAACACACCATACATTTTTCTACCTCATCAAATTTTAAAGGAAAATTCAATGGCCTAAATACAGTGTCATTTACCAAAGTTTAGCCTCATAAGTGGTGAGAGGAGTGCAGCCCAGTTTGTAGGAGGATACTGGTAGCTTTCTCCAACAGTTGCTATGGGTTTCATCACTATTTTGAGAAGCGAAGGAGGCACGGCTTCAGGACCTGTAACAGATCGTAAAAACCAAATCAAAACAAGACAGACAACACCTTGCTATCATGAGAGTGGAAAATACCAACTTTCCCTTCATTAGGTTTTAAAGAATTTGATGTCACATCTTCAACTGTGTTCAGTCCTTTAATTCTATACTTTGAATCTCAATTCCATTTGCTGCAAAACCTTTCTCCCTTTGTTCTTTTTTTTTTTTTTGGTTTTTCTCCGGTACCGGGAACCGAACTCACGACCTTGAGCTTGCCAGGCAGGCACTTTGCCGCTGAGCTAAATCCCCGGCCCTTCTCCCTTTGTTCTTCTTTCTCATCTCTAATCTTTTTCTCTTATCTGCACAGAAATATTCCACATTTTTACCTACCAGTCTTTCCCATTCTCGTGGCTTTTTATCTAGGTTTTTCTTTAAAAAGAGCAACTTACTTGACATTACTCACTCACTGCTCACTGACTCTAAAGCCCTTCCAGCGCAGAGCACTGGTGGCTTAAGTGTGTTACCTTCCAAGGACTATGGATTACTCATAGCCTTTGTGACCTTAACTCATGCATTCTGTACCATATGATTCTTTACTTTTTTTGCTTCTTAGCCTGTGCCATGGTGACTGTTCTAGACAAAAGCACCAAGGGAATAACAGCTATTCCATGGGCTAGCCAGTTACCTATTACCATTAGCTAGTACCATTACTTTAATACCATACTCTCCTCTGGGGGGAAGAACAGCTTCTCAACTGAGACTTGAGTAGAATATAAAATGCAGTAAGTGTGGGAACTGCCATTAAAGGATGCAGAAAAATGAAGGTACAGTGAGGTCATGAACAGCACATAGAAATCTAGAAGAACATTAAGGAGAAGCAAATGCCACATCAGCAGAAGAGAAGTCAGTGTCAGTAGAAAGAGAGCCAGAGGGACGAAAGGGGAAGATATCAGTAGGGAAAGGAGAAGCAGAGGCAGGGTCACAAATAGAGCAGCAGAATCAGAAGAAATTTAAACAGGGAGGCACAGAGGTAGAGGCAGAGCAAACAGATACAGAAAAGAGAAGAACAGGAAAAGGAGGTGTGGAAGCAGAATTAGTAGAAACTGAATCATAAAATGGTGGAGAAGGGCAAAGCAGAAGTAAAAGCAAAGTGGGCAAAAGGACAAACTGCTGCAGAAGGGAGAAGATGGAAAAAGGAAACAGAGGCAGAATCAGTAAAAAGGGAACAGAAGCAGCAGATAGTGCAAGGGGGAAAGCAGGTCAGTAAAGGGAAACCAGCC